CACACACACACACACACACACACACACACACACACACACACACATCGCACACACACACTGATCACCATTCACCTCTATGAATCAATAGAACGCGCTGTGGTACGCGAACGGAAGCAGAGTGGCTGAGAGTTCTTACTGAAGCGCGCGAGCAATTCACCGTAGTGAGGGTTTACCGATAACGGGCGTATTGCATTGCTCCTTCGCTCGCGTGTATATAATCAAGCGGCCATTGTACGGTATTCATGAGGGCCGCTCTGGAAAAAGTCAACACTAAATATATATGTTAGCTCGTTCATATATACATCTTCGGCCTTCCCTCTCGCCTCGTATGCGCGACTGACTTTAACGTTTCGTCTATCTAAGGAGTATATGTCAGCTCGTTCAATATATGCATCGTCGGCCTTCCCATCCCCTCTGGTTTGCATGACCGACTTCTAAAGTGCGTCTATCTAACTTCTAAGGATAATCTTTCGCATGCTGCTTACGGTTAATCCACTATAAGAACCACTACCTCGTTGTTGTGTAGATACGTAAACACATAATATACAGAGTGGCGTATTCTCTCGCGGGGCCTGGATATCATGAGACACAGTCGGACGATCATGGGATGCCGAACAGACGGCGAACAAATCAGATGTGATGCACTTACCATTCCAACTTCCGACATGCTGCCGATATACAGTACGTGCATGCTGACGTTAACCTGCACTCCCTCGCCTGCAAAACGAAAACGAGAAAGAGATTTTAATATGAATTCGTCGGGGCGTGTTAAAACGATATTGTTGCAGCTTCGCGCTAAGAGAGAGAGACACACACGTCCTTCGAATTACTGTTAAATGCTTTCTAGGCGGGCGGTTATACTTTGCATAATGTTGACGGTTGGTTGGGAAGGCGCAGGGGAGGGGAGGAGGGGGGGGTGAAAGGTGCATTGGCGACGCGGGTAACGATCGGTCCATTCTTTTCCGCGGCGTGCGAGCTCACACGTGTACGTAGCATTGACGTCACTTATATACCGCCGCAGTGCTGGGCTGCGCAATGAAAAAGTCGAATTGTGACTGCCTAAACCATTTGACGAGGTTTCTGCTGGCAGTTTATAGATTTTTCGATGAACAAATACGCCCGTACTGTGGCTACACAACAAGGTTATGCCCTCCGTACGTGCACGTATTCGTTGTGGGCTTTCGCGGCCTCTCCTAGGCATAATTCACTGTATATTATAGACGTCTATAATAGCTGAATGCCGTAGGTGCGAAAGCAGCTGTTGGTGCACGCTACCATATCGACGTGCTGCGCTTATACAGCGTACGGCGTTCATCAACCGTGAGAGTGACTTCCACGAGTAGCTATGTTCATAAACGTCTAGCGCCTAGGAACTTATGGTGCAGATGAACATACAATACATCAATGAACATATGATTATGATGAATGCATGTCATCTATGAACGCCATGTTAATAAACGTATGGCGTAGGAATACGAACATATGAAATATGTTATCGTATGACGCACTATAGCAATTGAATTCTATTAATATGGAGTCTATGCTGGTATATGGAGGCAATGCTGTTATATAGAGTCAGTGAACGCGCGACATAGATGAACGTATAGAGCACGTGAACGTCTGACATCGATGAACGTATCAGGTGTGTGAACGTAGGACGTTCATGAACGCACGAAGATTGAACGTATGGAGTCTGTGAACGTCTGACATTGAAGACTGTTAGCTTTCCGTAGCGTAACGGTGTTGCGCCGTCACCATATGCCAGTACATTCCTCGCGGGAGCATGTATAACGGCCATTACTAGCGGTAAAAAAACGCATTTCAGTGATTTCATGACGACACGTATACGGTCAATTGCGTTACTATTCGCTTTTCTGCGGAAAATAGTCGGCAGCAGCGATGTACCTTTATTGAAAAACCAGCCATGCACGCTGCAAACGTTATTCGTGTAACCACGCAATTCGTGATAATCGAGTGTAATAATCATGTTGCCAATCAATATGACGCATTAGTTCTGTATATTATAATGTTTATAGGCTAATGCTTTTTCATGTTATACCCATACTGGACATATTATATTCCAACAAATTTAATGTAAGGTCAATGACGCGTGAATCCCTACATTGTGCTAATCATAAAATTAATTAGAGTGAGTATTAGCATACTAGACAAGCGCAAAGTGACAGATTAATTAGCTAAATGACTCATTGCAATTAAAATTCTTATAACATCAGCTCTAAAATCGCATGAAGGGGTTTTGTTGAGCCTAAACCACTTATGGCTGACCTCCCCTGCTCAATACGATTGATAGTGCAGCACGATAGCAAACAAAACTACACTTAAACACGATTAGCCATTCTGACTGGTCACCCATGCATTCTTTCTCAATATTTTCGTTAAGTGAAAATAACGCCACTAGGGAGCGTTGCATTCGGCCGCCGCGTATATTCCCCAAAGATGGCCGCTCTCCGGTGTTTCTGCTTACTACCTCACTCAAGCTACATTATTGATAATCAACGGGATTGAATTATTTACAAACTAATTACAAAGCTCGAGCGTTTTCCTACAGTCCCTAGTAAGCGTTAACCTTTCCCGGCGCGCGCAGAGTGTGTGCCAGTAAAACCTGTCTGTCCGCTGTGTATACAGTACACGGCACCGGTTGAATTCACGCGACCTGATCGGTTTGCGGCTCGGCGTTACGTACCGCATCAGCCATGCCTGTTCGCGCGCGTATATATACGCACGGTCTCGATTCTCCACACCGAAGTTCAATTCGCGGCGGCCTTTGCGTGTTCAAGATCCGATCATAGACATATTGTCAGCCCTTCGTGGCTGCTGGCCTGATCAAAAAGCCAATTTCGCACGGTAAACAGTTGATTTTTCATCGGAGCGTTGGTCCTTTAGACGATCGGAAAATTAACTCGCGCCTGTGGTCGGCAGTGATGTCAAGCGAAATTACTACCCCCACCCCCTCACTCCCACCTCCGTTTTCCGTCTAGCTTCATCGTCTTGGCAACGGATAGCTATTGATGTTGGAGTGATAAAATGCGATGTTATCCCATGCGGCGACGTCGCTCTACCCGCGCACCGACGCCCGCTAATCATATATGCAAAGGAACGTGGCGCGAGCGTCGCCGTGCAGGGTTCGTGCATGAGGAAACATTACTGGGGCGCGTGGAGGACATCTTTCCCTATTCACCCACTCACACGCGACTAAAGTCGCTGATTTGATTTTGATCCTTTATGCGTGTTTGTTGAATCTCTGTTTGCCTACTTGTAGAATGTGTTGACATAGCGCACTTTTCTCGACTATAACCTAGCCCCTAAAAAATCGCTGTTTAAAAGCTATAGCACTCGCTCACTCAATCAGCAAGGCGCATTCTATGAAATTATACGCATGGCTTGGGCTGGTTAACGGGAACATTTATCTAATGCAGAATCAGTCATCAGATTCCTCGATGGCCAAAACAGATATTGAGCGTCGTTTTAATAGCTGCATTTTCGTAATACAATTTTATATTCGGAGAATACGCGCCATTGGTCGTTCGTATGTAGAAGGCAGACACGCGTGACTTAGACAAATACACGCACACGCACACGCACATAGGGGCCCACGCAAGCCGCACCTAATGTATATATATATATATATATATATATATATATATATTATTTACTACTGATATATATATATATATACATATACACGTATAACTATTTCTCGCTTATATAAAATAGAGGTCGTGGTTCCAGCTGTTGTCGATTTAGCATTTAGCTGGAACAAAATGGCGTGCCATGTCGTCTAAGTATCTCACGTTGACCAGTCTTCTACCGTAAGACACATTTAACATATCATGTTTTCGCTTCAATGAAATGCAGTAGGAATATATTATCTAAACTACTTGATCAATAATTTTTATGCGATTAGCAAGAACTCGTTATAACAGTAGCGATATTACCTCGTTTCCGATATTAATTACCATGAAAATACATAATTCATATAATGGTATTGTAGCAAATTTATGTGTGATATCTTGTGTTTGTGAACAGTATTATTATTGACCTTATTGTACGATTACATTTTCATTTTCGTAACATATATGTTACTCAGATTTGAGTGTGTGTGTGTGTGTGTGTGTGTGTGTGTGTGTGTGTGTGTGTGTGTGTATGCTGCTGCTGCTGCTGCTACTGCTGCTGCTGCTACTACTACTACTGCTGCTGCTGCTACTGCTGCTGCTGCTACTACTACTACTGCTGCTGTTGATGCTGCTGCTGCTGCTACTGCTATTGCTGTTGTGTCTTGCTCGCACACTACTCTAACGTGACGCGTGATATTTCGGAATGTAAAAATAAAAAGCGAATTGTGAGAGAGAGAGCGAGAAAAAAAACGCGCGACATCATAGAATCACTGTATATCTCGCCCGGGGAGTCGCGGACCGGCTAGAATCGGACACGTTAGAGAGAATAAAAGTATATTCAGCCCCGCGTATATATCGCCCGGCAGGTAATAACGTTTAGAAAATGAGAATTGAAAACTCTCACCGCCGCCGCCGCTGCTGCTGCTGTTGCTAAAAGCCGCGTCATTATTTCGCGTTGAAATAGAGCATCGACCATTAGCCCAAGCTATTCAGGTATCACTCTCATTCGCTCGACTTGCACGGACGCGCTTCATATAAGCTCATCCTCAAGCGAGAGACTAAGTCGACAGTAGTGTCCGTGTCGAAGAGCTTGTCCCGCAGACGATAACAGCTTGTCGATCGTTACCATGGCGAACAATGACGCTCCGGTGTTCTGTTGTTTCGCAGACGAATGAGAAGTTACCGACATTGAAGTGCCGGGGGGAAATAACCGGAAGTATATGAAGTATGGCGGCAGGATGCAACGAAGATTAACATAGAGCTGCTTATAATTAGTCGATCGAAATGAAATTAGCACAACAAAAAACAGCTGCGGCAGAGGCAGTAGTAACAACAAATGAAAGGACGCAATAATAACATCAAGAAAAATAGTACGAACAGCAACTACAGACGTAGCAACAACAATGGGAGGAATTGAGACAACTATGAAGAGAACCGTTTTCGAATGCGACACTAACGACGACAGACAGACGGACAAGCAAACAGACAGACAGATAGACAGACAGGCAGATAGACAGACAGGCAGAGAGGCAGACCACATAATTATACAACAAAAGAGCAGTTACACTACCAACAAATGTACGCATGAAAATAAAAATAAGAGGTAGCAATACGGTAAAATAATGCATTCGTAAACACGTATTCGGAAGAAATATGTAAAGTAAGAAATAGTAAACCCATGTATGATATTCGCAACCCAATAAAATAATTTTTGAAGGTACTCATGGCGTAAATTTACATAGCAGAAGAATTTTAAGTACACTTTACCAACGTTTACTGTTACAATTCCGCCAAATAAATCATCTTTACTATTAAATTTGCCGACACATGAGTGCGTATATGTTCTATATTCTCAACAGAACTACTCACATGGACGTATGTATGGTGCAATTCTGTATTTCACGAAAACACTAAAACTAGGTTTAATCGTATGAGATAAGTTACGCTGATATTCCACGCGAATATCCTCATAAAATAGCTCCGACGGTTCAGTTTTCACATCTAAAAATATAAAAAAATGTTTCTGTAAAACGGAGTAAGCATCGCGGTATATTGGAAAGTCAGATTTATTGTAAATAGGAG